CCATTCACAGAGGCAGCGTGGACTCCCTCGTGACCGCGCGCGCGTCCACAACAAACGTGCACGTACACAGAGAACCTGGACAAAACGAAAGCAACCTTCAGGAATCCCGGGAAATGGGGGAAAGACGCACACACGCACACTCTCTCACTCACTCACACATACACACGCACACGCGCGCGCGTCACGGGCTGACCCGACGTAACGAGCGGGTTCACAGTGGCGGATCCAGAGACGGCCCAGGGAGGGGCAAAGTAGCCCTTTTTGCCAGCCTACAGGGGAAGAGAGACTTTTTGCCTACCTTCCCGACGACTATCAAGGGGTCACGGGTCAATTGTCCGTTTGCCCCCTCCCTGGTACAAGCAAAACATCGACGGCTGTCAACGAGTTCGGCGATCGAATCAAGCGTCTCCAGTTCGTTTGCGGCAACGGCACACTGCCTGGCCGTAGGCCTGGCCGTAGGCCTGGCCTGCCCCTGCCGTCGGCACTTTCGGCCTTTCCATCAGTCAATGCCATCACTTATATTTGCCTCCTCGCCTTCGCGGTCGCGGTCCCGTACCAGCCGTCGCTGTATTGGCGACGGCCTGGGCCCCGGCCCGGCCTGGCCCGTGGCAGCGCGCGCCCGCGAGCACCCATCCCGCGCCTGTGCCAATTCTGGAATGTCTTTCCGAAACGACAACTAGAACAGCAACAACAACAACAACACAGTCGTCACTAAGACGCACGTCATCAGCGACGTGAGGCCAATGCGTGAATCACAGAAGCTAAGACCACACACACACACACACACACGCCGACGTCACGGGGGGCTCCCTGCTCTCCGCGGACGTGCGTGCCGTGCCTGGCGCCTAACTGCACGGCGGCGCAAGCACGGCACGGCCACGCGCACGTATCGTTCTCGGAATAATCTCTGGACAAAACAACGAACAGCAGACCACCGTAAATTTAGATGCACCTCAGTGCACACCCAAAGCGATGGCGATGAGGCGCCTCACTTCCCCTTGTCCGCGACAGTGTACCAAGCGGATCCTCTCCGCGCGTCCTGATGAGGATTCGACTCGCTGAAGAAGGATAGCGTGACTGCGGTCTCTCTCTCTCCTCCCCTCTCTCTCTCTCTCTCTCTCTCTCTCTCTCTCCTCTCTCTCCCTTTCGCCAAGTCATTGAACTTTATCGTGTAAATGTGTGCCCCGATGTGTGTGCCACTTGTCGCAGAAATATTTGCCGCGCTCGGAAGGAGAAGAGGAGGTTGGGTCATTAAGTCGAACGTATCTGGATTAATCCGGATCTCGTTTCAGATCGCAATCACTGTTCACCATCCGCAATCCGCGGTCGCAGGCCGCAGCCCAGACCCGTCAGTGGCAATCAGAGCAATGAAAGGCTGCCAGGAATCAGCGGGAAGGAGAGAAGGGTACACTGGGGCGTACTTGTATGCCTTTCTTCAAGCGTAGTGGTTTCTACGCTCGGCTTAAATTCTCCGTTCCGCCCATCGAACTCACCAATGGATTCCTCGTTTAGAGAGCAACCAATTGGTGGGATCAAACGCACGGTTATAGTCCCATGTAGCGACTCAGGAGCTCGAAACCCGTCCGAGATTTTGTCCGCCTCCACCAGTCTTCTGACCCACTGTGCGTCGAGAGAGCCCTCATGCAGTCTGCCCGGCACGCCCGGTTCGCCTCCAAGCTTGGAGGATCACGGGTTTCATACCCCCTTCTTTTATGGTGTCACATGGTTCGCGGATGGGCCCGCGAAAGCACCCTTAACGAGGCAGTCAAACAAAACAAGTGTTACGAGGACAAAACTTGTTTGTCACATTGTTGACGTCTTCCTTGAAGCAATTGGGTGCGGTGTTTCAATCGATAACATCTCCATCCTCTCTCTTTCGTACAGTTTTCTCTCTCCCTCAAAGAAGGACAACAGGGATTTCTCTGTTAACTTTTAGCAACAGCCACTGTTGCGAGTCCCACAGTTGCACATGTCATCTTCAAAGTGTTCCGCGTTCCACCGTCAACCTGACCAAATCTTCCCAAAGCATCGTCAGACTCCATCTCCGCCTCAGAAAAAAAGCAATTGGCGGAATAGACGGTGGAACACTTTCGACTAAATAAGTCACACGCAAAAATTGCTTTCGCGCCAGAGCGATGTGCTTTAGCGTAATTACCTAGCAATTAACAAGCCATAGTGCATGCGAATCAATATGAGAATTACTGAAATGGGACGACTGTTTTCTGTAATTATAATTTTGTTCAAAGGAATGGATTTTGGAATGGATACTCGTGATAACTACACAGTCCCGTCGTTGTGACAAGAAGTATTTGACGAGACAGCGTACTCTCGCAAAAAAAAGAAACAAAAAGCAATGAAGACCTTCCTATTTCCTATTTCAGCGCTTCCGTTTACTGCATGTTGTCATATTGTTCCTCCGAGCGAGACGGCCACAGCAGCAGCCAGCCTCCCGAGTTTTTCACTCGGAGTCTGCGGTCTCTAGAAGCTCGCGAAGAATCGGAACGTCCCGGTTCTTGCGTCAGCACTCACAATTAGACTCAATTACTGCGGCCAACCGGGTACCCGAAAGCATCAGCGCGCGCACACACACACAGACCGTCACACTCACACACAGGCCGACTGGGCTCCATACATCGCAAGCCTTGAGCAAGACAAAGAGGTCCGTCATGATGCGCGGCGCCAAAAAGAGTAGGAGGCGGGAATTTGGCGGGAGACGTGCAGCGGCGTGGAGCGCGGCCATCAGTGCAGAGGGCGTTTGGGGGACGGCCAGGTTTAACGACCGGCCGGTCGAACCTAACCTCAATCATCCCAACCTCACCTAACCCAACCTGACATAACCTAACCTAACCTCAACAAACCTCACCTCAACGAACCTCACCCCCAACCAACCTCACCTCAACTAACCTCACCAAAACCAACCTAACCTCACTTTATCTAACCTAACCTTCCTGCGGACCGCCACAAGTTTTCCCGACCGGTCCGACGCGGCAGGCAGGAGGCAGGCAGGCTTCTGCAGAATGTTCATCGCGTCGCATGCCGCGGCCGCGCTAGTGTAGCGCTAGTGGACATTGAAGGCGGCAGGCAATTGGGACTTGTCTAGCGCTACGCCTTTGACTCCTGTGCCGGGTACCCGGCTACTTGCAGTGGAGGATCCAGAGCCGGCCTTTTAGGGGGAAAGTAGCACTTCTTGCTTACTTTCAGTGGGAGTACGGCGCGGCCGGCCTGGCAGTGCCGGCGCCATCTGCCTCGCGCACTAGACGAAGGAGTGGGACAGGCCGAGGAGGAGAAAGAGAAGGAGGAGAGATCCGAGACAAGCAGTGAAGACCGAGTCGGCGAGGAGGACCGGATGGTGATGAGAAAACCAGATCGCCGCAAAAAAACCGGTTCTGACCGGACCGGATAGGCTCGGCTCGCTGCGTCCCAACATCATTAATAATATTTACTCGCGATGTCGACTCGACGCCACCCCCCCGCGCCCCGCCGCGCCCCGCCGCACCCCGCGCCGCGCACTACGCACAAGCAGACCGAGGGGACCGAGCCAATCGTTTGAATCCGGATAATAGGGTCAATGCAGGGCAAGGCCTCTGCAGGGCCCTGCCTGCCCCTCCTGGCCCCGCCCCTCCGTAGTCCTACCGGGTAGCTGCGTGGGGTCTCCGCAAAAGGACTCCACAAAACGCCATGCCATATCAATGCGACGTTTAATCCCTGTCAGGGAGAGAAAGGGACGGCCGAGCGCCGACTTATACCACAGATTCCATCTTCAGGTGTCCTTACAGGTCCATGCAGGTATCAGCACAGCTCGGACGTGAAACGGTGAGCGGCAATGACGGAAGTCACGCATCAAATTACAACTTAGATTTATGATTCCATCGCTTTCCTTTAGTTTGTTCTTGAGAAACGACAAACACTCAATTTGGACTCCTTGCTGCAAGATCGCACTCCCCGCGAGGGACGCGGCGCGACTTCGGCTTGTTTGGTCCAGCGCCACTTCGCCGGCCCTGACGGCCGATCGTGCCATCGTAATGCCATCGTGCCGGGGTGCATGGCCGTCAGAGGAGCGACGCCGCGCAGTCGTTCGCCGCTCTGTCTCTCTCGCACCCCGACGGGTCAACCCACGAGAGCGAGAGAGACAGAGCGACGAAAGCGTCCTTCGGCCTTCAGAAACGCCTCGAAGCTCACAAGGGCGCGGCCAAGGCGAAAGCATGTGGTGGTGCAGGCTTTGGCCGCTTTGCTGGATTGCTGCACCCCGTACCACGGCCACGGCCTCCGCCACGGCCTCCACGGCCTTGGTCGCGACTCTGGCGACGCCAGGACGGCGACGGCGCCCAGAGCGAGGCGGTCTACGTGACGGCCAGAGCGTCCCGACGCCCCGCGACGCCCCGCGACGCCGCCTGCGGGACGGACAGGACGGGGGTGAGTGAGGAAGGAGGCCGGCGGACTGGCGGACATGACCGGGCAGTTGAAGCGCGCCACATTGGCCGCCGCGCCGAGAAGGCAGGCACACCATCGGGCAGAGTGCGCCGCATCGCCGCACCGCACCGCGCGCCGTGGAGGCAGGCAGCCCACCGGCCGCGGCCGGGAAGTCCCTACCAGTGTGGCCACAAACACAAACACAAAAACAAATCCAATCCCCACGATGCAACAGTGTCCAAAGTCGGGCTGCACGCCGACTCACAGTCGCGGCCGCTGCCTTATAGGCAATCTGGGTTTTGCTCTCAAGTAAGAGGAGCCAACTTCAAGCTGCCTCACGCAGCTCGTCGAGGGCAGAACCGTGGTAGGCAGGCTGGGGATGGCGACACCCCAGCAGGAGCGGATCCAGTGCATACCCCCTCTCTTAGATAGCCTTCCAGATAGGTAGGAAAAAGGCCACTCTTCGCCCCTGTAAAAATGCAAAAAGTGCTTCCTCGCCTCGCCTCGCCCCACCCTGGGGCCGCCTCCGGACACTACTGGCGCGTTGTGGCAATACTGCCTGCCTACCTTGCACTGACGTCACGATGACGTCACGACCCGAACACGCTCATGTAGCACATGGCGCCGTTGCGAGGCTTGGGCTGCACGCCGAGGAACATGGCGGGCTCGGGGTGCACGGCGTACTCGCGCACCGCGTCGCGCGCCCACCCCGCGTCCGCCTGCACGCCCACGTCCAGCAGCGCTCGCACCGACACCCCCATTTGCTTCAAAAAAAGAAAAAAAATAATCACTGTTTTTGGTAAAAATATTTTTTAGCCCAATAGAAAGTGATTGAAGTTGTGAGCGACCCGCTACCGATATCTCCTGCACGGTGGGCAGCGCCCGGTCGGAGGGGACGGGCTCAGCGAAGCGGCCGTCCAGGCGCCCCCCGGGCTTGACGGCGTCCAGCAGGGCCTCCAGGAGCAGCTGCAGGCTGGACAGGCGCCTGTCCTCGCGCAGGCGGCACGCCCACGCAAGGACGTTCTGCTGCTCTGAAACAAGGCGCAGTGCGTCAACCACGCAGCCGACTATTGCCTCAGATGTGGTTTATGTTACGACGAACCAGTACCGGGTTCGGGTAGCTTGGAAGCCATGCATCGAATCAGCAGGTCGTTCAATTCAGAGACCTCAACTCGAGGTGGCGATCCCGCTGAAAAAGAAAGGGTGAAACGACAGCACGCAGACAAGACACGTAGATCATGGCAGGAGGAGGGCTTAACGGTGCCGAGCCGAATCTGAGCGACCGACTAGACCACCCACACTCTCAGGAAACATAAGAAAACAGTTTACCTGCCATGGTTGTGGGCACTCCCGTTGAAGAACAATGTTGCTATTTTTCAAAGGCACCCTAGACAACTGGAATTTTGAAACAACAAACGCACTCACGAAAGGAGAAAAACTATGTTTACAAACACAACAATGTATTAAGCATTGCCAACTACCGCGCCGTACGCGCCCTGGCCGCCCTGGCCCAGGGGTGAGAACGGCCGGCTGTGATTGATCATTCTCCACTTTTTATGTACTTCATAATCATTGGAGCCTTATTTCCTCCTTTAATATTTTGTTTGGCAGTGGCATTGTTTTCTCATGTGCTAAATAAATTTGCTGCCATGGCCTTTCTTTCTTGTTAAATTTAATGTGATTTCGTGGTAGTAGATTTGCCTCATGGATAAATGCTTTGCCATAGTGCCATTTTCATCAGTCTAGTTTAAGTGCTGTTTTGTTACAGTTGTATAAGGGTAAATGTTCCTCATTTACTTTGGTGAAAATAAAGATGGCAATTCAAGATTTTCTTTGGTGAGTGTTTTAATTGCTATGTACATAGGATTACATAGAAATGATATAATGGAAAACATTCTTTGATTCTTCATTGAGGCACAGCACGAAAGTCATTATCAATGCCGTCTCAATCTATGGCCCTGAGTTTTTATCCTCGTCCTCCCTTAATAAGGGATTTTGAAAATTTGTCAAGGCCGCACAGACTTGAAAAATTTTAGAGCTGACATCCTTCAAGTGGATTGGTAAATAGTTCAAAATGCCGTATGCTTTAATCCTTTGGATAGTTCTTTTCACATGACTCCGAGCCCTTGCTGCTGCCTTTGTTCTTTCTACTTGGTCAGGAGTGATTTGTGGAGTGTCAGCCCCAAGGGGGAGCAACAACTCTCTTATTGCAAAGTCACTGTCTGCCAAAACCTCATCACCAGGTTCAAATATCTCCAGAAGCCCACTATTCTCAACTACTTGTTTGTCCGAAGTTGATCCGGCGAACAGAGAGCTGACAAAAGTAACTGCTCCATTAGGGGCAATGCCGACAAGGCCCTTCTGGCTTTCACAGAGTGAGTACCTGTTAAGCTCCAAGTTTTTAAAAGGTAGAGTCTTGGGCTTGGCAATGTGTATCTCTGTGCAATTGATTATCATGCGACAATCCTCGAGCCCCTTGAAACACTGGGGCAGAGAACTATTATTTTCTTCTCGGGAAGGCACAGTTTTCAGAGCTTCCAAAAAGATTTCTTGATGAAAAGCATCCAAAATGGTTAAAAATACATTTGCAACAGTGGTCTTGCTTACATTGAACCACACAGCCAGGTCTATGAAATCAAAGTTGCACTTTAATTTCATGAGTGTTAGGTAAATCTGGTCTTCTCTTGAAATGCTCGTCACAGCAGACTTGTGAACATATTGTAATGGCTTAGTGAAATGACCACACAAATTCTCAAAACTTTGGGCATTTGGTAACCCAGTGAAGTGGGCTACCTGAGCATCAACAGAAGAAATGCCTCGAAATAACATTCGGCCCTTCTCTTTCTGCAGTGACTCAAATAATTCCTTCTCCCTTCGCAGTAGGGTTGCATGCTTACCATTATACTCTACCAAGTCTTCTCTCATTTTTTTAATGCTTTTGTCTTTCATGTCGGACTCCTCAGTCAGTTTAGAAATCTTTGCTGTAAGTTCATTAATTTTTGCTGAAAGTTCATTAGAAAGTTCATTAATTTTTCCTTCTGCTAGAATCACTTTAGTTCTCCACTCCTGAACTTCCTCAAGAAGAGATTTTACAACCCCCAGGTTGTCTCCAAAGGTCACAAAATGATCCGCATCATCAAACATGATGGGTGAAGTCTGCACTCCCATATCAACTTTGGTAGGTTGATGATATATCTGGGTGCTCCCTAAAGCAAATTCGTTCCTTGTGATTGGCAACAAGCACTGCGTAGCAGCATTTTTGGTGTTTGCAACAGTCTGTGAGCTAGTGCTTTTTTTGGAAGGAAATATCACAGACAGAACCCTGGGTGACACGCCACTGATGAACTCAGTATAACCAGTATTACCAGCTAATGGAGATTGGCTCGTGACCAGATTTAGATCCAATGTCTTCCTGCGTTTCAGTGTTGAGTCACTGCTACTTGAAGGGCTATCAACAGGGTGAGATGTGGACGACGAATTACTTGGATGATTCTTGGGGCATTCATCAGATGCACCAGTACATTGTTGACTAGTATTGTTCTTATCACCCCTAAAAAGAATGAGTGAAAAAAAATCATTTTGAGAAAGTTGACACCAGCAAAAAATAGACTTACTTTTAAATGACTTACAATGATGAAGTAGCCAAATTCTCACATGATGAGGCTGGTTCATGATTGATGTGAGATCGTGACACGCTTGGAGACAATAATCCAGAAAAATAGGATACAGAAACCCCACCACCACTGACATCAGGCTCGGCGACAACTTGAAGCAGTCTCTTCCTGTGATAGGACATTATCATGAATTAGGGGGCAAAGACTTCAGTGTCATGCACATACCATTCCACAGCATACAATACCTTGCATTTGGTTTGAGTTCAGAGAAAGAATCACGGTGTTCTTCTTGCCTCCTAAAAATTGAAGGAACTTGCCGTAGGAAGATGCCTTTTATACCATCTGCGAAGTGGCAACTACACACACGTGAATGATGTGAAGGTAATCTGTCTGCCCTCCTGCAACAAGGAAATATAAGAGTTCACCACAAAACACTTTTCCCTTTAGTTTTAAATCATCAAGTCTACTCACATTATAGCAGCAATCCATCTCTTTTTCCTCTCAGGAGTATTAGGGAACTTAGTAAATTTGCAACCATTTTTCTTATCAGAGTGATCACAGTCCGGCACAAAGCACGTCCTCATTTTCAAGTCAATCAGGAACTCGCTGATCCACTGGGTAACAGGGTGAAACCAAACAGACGGACGTAAAGACAAATCAAAACCGAAAACATGAGAGCAGCCTCTTGCACTCAGAACCCTTCTAACCTCACTCACCACTCTTGCGAGCCGGGGTGAGGCAGGGTGCGGAAGGCAGGGGGAGGAGGTGAGTGACGTCACAGATGCAGCAGTAGCACGCTGTTCCCCCACTACCCCAAGGGGACTGAGGGGGTTGGGGAGAGAGAGAGAGACTTCTGGGGGGGGGGGGTAATGGAAGAGGGGGTTGGGGAGGGGTGCGGGTAGTCACCTTGCAGTGACTACACATCTGTGCATTTACTGCAACTCCGATCCCTTGATATTTTATGCAGTTTTCGCTGGGTCAGAAACTAAAAACCAAATTAAATAGCATCGAAGACAAACGTTTCTCATAGTTTTTGATGTTCAAGGTATCATTGCTCCTTATTAGTACGTCCAATTTATTCGCAGTTGGCAACAAGTAAGCCGGTCGCGTGGTGGGGGTAGGTGGGGGTAAAGTGTTGTCTGCTCTTGGTACCTGCCACTACCTGTCACAGGTTGCCAATCAAGGTAAGTAGGGGATGTCAAATTGATCTACTCTTAATAAATTACTGTAACATTTCCAATTGAATACTCGAAACTTCCACTCGATTTAACCAGATAATTTGCCGAATTGATGTCATCCTTTCCTCATGTTAAACCCACGTGAGTCTCAGGTTAACTTGGTCCATTTTCAAATTCCACAAACTAGGTACTTATCCTGAATCAAATCAATAAATAGGTCACTCTGCTTTCCTTTTAGATTGCCATCTTAATTCCTTTTAGGCCTTACCTGAACTGCAAGATGGCAACATCATCCAACACAGAGTCAATGCCAGATTTGTTTGAGGAGATGCAGACTTTGGCGCAATTGACAGGGATCAAGTGCCCTGGAAAAGTCATGAAGTGAGATCCTATATTCAACTAATGTTTTGTTCAAATGAAAGCTTTTTATGTCATTACTCAGCAGAACTAAGCACTAATTATTATGAATGTAACTTTCAGGATTATATTGCAGCTCAATATCATGGGTGTACCACCCGAAAAAATCCGCACTCTTCTGCGAGATATATTAAAGGCCAAACATCGTTCCAAAAATTCTTCAAGGAGTAGTAATTCCTCTTCTGATCGAGAAAATTAGACACTTTAGTTATAAATAATAAATAGAAATCAAATTGTTAATCTTTCTTTAAGTTCCTACTCCTGGCTCTCATTTTGGAAATATGTGTTGTCACCCAAATGATAACTGGTTGATAGTGAGGGAAAGAATGACACAATGGCTTGTACATTTTAATTTCTGTCAAGTTGTGTCTATTTTTAACTTCTTGGTATATCAGCTCTGCTTTTCTGTTTCTGTAATTGACTGTCCCTGTAGTGGTTTGATATTGACACCTTGCTCGTCTGCTCATTCAACGTACAAGCGTGCGTGCGTGCGTGCTGGTGGGGATTAGGGCGATTAGGACCCAGAGGCCTCTGGACCCAAAGTCCTAAACTTTAGACCTACAGTCCGAGTCTCAGTCGTCCTTGTGCGTTGCGTATTATTTTTCATCCCCGAGGCTTCTGCTTTCCAAAGCTGGCAACACAAAATGTGAAAAATTAGCGCCTTACACTTCTGAATATATTTTTCAATATTTTTGTTGCTTTGTGTTTCTTTTTTAAGTTCTTAAGCTTCTTCAATCTATTACTGTTCAGACATTTCAGATTACCTCACGCGGGTGAAATTCAGTTAAATTAAAATTTACCTTTGTCTTGTGTTGTTGGCTAAAACGGACAACAAAGGAACCCTCTAGCAGAAGAAACAGAACTGACAGCAGCTGACATCATGATTTATTTGGTTAAAGTTTACATTGCTTTGGCAAACAAAATTTAATTCAACGTTTTGTACCTATGTGTTACAACTTCTAGTTGGGCTTCCTCTGCCTCAAAATGGTCTTATGTAACAAATTTTGAAGAAAGGGGTGTCTATCTTTGTTCTTGGATAATAAGTTGATAGTACATAGTGCAAATATGTGGCCCCTTCTTGTTCTCTGGGACGCTGGAGCTAGCTCTGTTCTTTTTCAAGTTTCTGGTGTCATCATTGCCTTTACACTAAGTGTGAGTTTTGTCCGCTTCCTCACTCGCGATGAACATGTACCCATCAGAGATGCATCAAAGCGACACAACTGGCAGAGCAGTTCAATGCTAAACAAGGTTTGTTAAAAATGCTTTTTCTCTTCTTTAAACTTGTAGATAAATCTATTGTTACCATCTCTTTACCTCAAGTATTTTTAAACCTTGAATTTCCAGGTGTGCTACTGCAATGTCTGTGAGGTATTGCTGGCTCAAGGGGAAGGCGTTTTTTGCGATTGTTGCGGAGTTAGTGCCCATGTGAGCTGTGTCACAACTGCAGATGGTACTCTAAAGTGCAAGGTAGTTCACTGTCCTGATGTCAGTCCCTTTAAGCACCACTGGGTGAAAGGTATGGGTTTTGTCTTGATTCTATTAACCGAAATTCTCCAATAAATTAACTTGTGAACTGTAACCGTCTTTTCCTCTTTTTTTTCAGGAAATTTGCCTTTAGGTGCTACATGTGATGTCTGTGAGGAAGAGGCTGGGTATGGTTGTGGTCTGATTGATTTTTCTTGCTGCTGGTGTCACCGTTGTGTTCATGCAGCCTGCCTTCCAATTCTTGGGGATGTAAGTGTGATGCACTGTAGCTTGAAATAAGCACACTAGTGATTTTATCCTCATATTACAATATTTCTTAACAATTTTAGGTTTGTGACTTCGGCCGATTCAGAGCTCTCATTGTGCCACCTAATTGTGTTGAAGTCGAGTCACGTCGCAGCAGCATTAGAAGGAAACTGCGCTTACGAACTGTCAAGTCCTCAGGATGGTCACAGTGGACTCCTCTCATTGTGATGGGTAAGAGTGTCTTTCTATGAGATCTTCTGTTATTCTTCATTGTTCCTTATATCTCATGGAAACATTTTTTTCAGCCAACTGCCGTTCTGGCAGCAATGAGGGAGCACAAGTTCTTGCTACATTTCGAAAAGTATTGAATCCAGCTCAATGTATAGATCTGGCTGAGAGACCCCCTGAGGTTGCATTGGAATGGTGCCAACTTTTACAACATGCAGGAGCAAAGCCAACAATACTTGTTGCTGGTGGAGATGGGACCGTTGGCTGGGTTCTTAATGCTGTTCACAGTCAACAATTAGAGGTAAAAAGATGTGTGTTATGTATTACAAGTGGTCCCAATACAGGTCTTTTCTTTAAAAGTAATAAAGTAATGTTTTAAATTTCAGCCTGCTCCTCCAGTTGCATTGATTCCTCTTGGAACAGGAAATGATTTGTCCAGAGTGCTTGGTTGGGGCAAAGAGTTCTGTCCAGACTTGCAGCCTGAGGAAGTTTTGAACCGAGTTCTGAGGGCAAATGTGGTGAAATTAGACAGGTAGGTAAATGCAAACAAACCATCCAACAAATTTTTAAAAATCGGAAACTTTGCATTTGGGTACATGGCTAGGTAATTCCATTGGTACTGTTCTATATAAATTTGAAATTTTCAGGTGGGAGGTTACTACCAAATGGGCTCATCAACTTAGTCATATTCATCGAATGAAGAAGCGTTTGATGTACAATTACATGAGTGTTGGTGTAGATGCCCAAGTTACTCTCAACTTTCACAGAACAAGAGAATCAGCATTTTATATCATCAGTAGCCGCATCTTTAACAAGGTTCAAATTAAAATAGAACATCCCTGGATGCCTACGTGTTTCATTAGGTTTTTATGTGTGTCTATATTGTTTGAATTTTCTTTCATTCTATTAGATGCTGTACTTACTATTTGGCACCCAGCAAGTAATGGAAAGAGGCTGTCGTAATTTGGAAGAACGGGTTGAATTATTCATGGATGGGAAAAGAGTTGAGCTTCCAGAGATAGAGTCAATTGTGATTCTGAATATACCATCATGGGGAGCTGGTTGCCGTCTGTGGGATATGCTAGATTCAGGTAAGCATTTGACAATGAATAATTTTGCTGCTTTTTAACCTAACTAGAAATTATTGCAGCTGAAATTTATTTTTAGGTGAAGTGGGAGAGCAAAGCATTAGTGATGGCAAGTTAGAAGTGCTGGCACTTTATTCCAGTTTTCATATGGCTCAGCTACAAATTGGACTTTCAACACCTCACCTTGTTGGGCAAGCAAGTTCTATTACCCTTAAATTCAAAGACAGTCTACCGGTTCAAGTGGATGGGGAGCCATGGCAACAAGGCCCATGCACAATCACTGTTAACTGCAATGGTCAGGCGACACTACTGAGTCTTCCATCCGAGAATTAATCCTGCCATTTTTGTGACTATGCTGCTCTCATCAAGTGATTCATTTCCTTGTTTTTAAATTTAGGAATTGTTTTGCCAAGAAAGTTTCAATTGAAAATTTTAACAAATTTAAACCATGTTCCACATTCCTTTTCTTTTCTTTTTTTTTGTTAGTTGACACTAGGTTAATAATAGGCTGTGTAAAAATTCTTGTGACAAGCTTATCATTCCTCTTCTTAGTTCTTATGATGCCTCTGAAGTCTGCTGGCTATGGTCCTTCTGCCCAAAGAGTTTTAGGGTAGGCTATTCTGTGATTTTAGCTACAATCTCTACCACAACAGCTTTCTTTATTATTCGTGTGTTCTGCATTTTTTGTGTGACCGCAGTACATTGCACTTTAACTCTAAGAGTGTGAAATACACACTGCACTTTTTATTTATTTATTTATTTATTTTTCTGCTACTTAATTAAAGGCTCACATCTTGATGTTGAAACATTTACCTCATTGTCAAAACATGTATACCTTAGAGTTATCAAGTATTCATAGCATTTGTTATCTTCCCATATATTTTGTGATGTCCAGGCTGAATTGGCTTTGGAAAGCAGCACCAAGTTACCTAGAGCCCGAGTAATGGATTTCATTTGGGACCAGATCCCACTCTCACATTGAAAGTTCCATCTGTGAAATTTGCATTGACGCAAGATCAGAAAAGTATCAGTCAATGGAAAAGCATCTATGCATTATTTTGTTGGTTTTAGTATTTGAGAGTTTACGTATATGGGATGATTTACTTTGTGCTAGAACCTGAAGCACCAAAGATGTTGAATTGATCTTAATTATTTTATAGGAGGCTTTTTTTTTGTTTATGTTGGGATTTTATTGACCATGAGACTGTTTAATCTCTTGTTATGTGTTTTTATTCATTGTGAAATTTTAAAAGTGCTTTCTGCTGGTGATGGATTTATCAGTATTGTTTGCAATTTTATTTGTTTATTTTTTTCCATTCAAGGTATGTTTATACCTTCCATATGTTGATTTTGCCTTTTGCCTGTTGTTTCTTTGCTGTCCTCTTCCAGTATTGATGTATTAGTAGTTCAGAAATGTGCTAATAAAATAAAATTTTACCAAGTTGACATCAATTTTGTACACCGTTCCTTTCCTCATGTATAAAAGTTAAAAGCACACCACAAGCGAAGCACTGAACACCGAAAACCGTAACATTTTTTTAAGAAAGAAACCAGGCAACCAAACAAAGCAGTTCCAACAACATTTTAGCTATTATTGTGGGTAGAGTGCAGTGAGCGCTAAAACGACTAGATTCAGAAGACCCACTTTGTGGACTCGCGGCCCCGCGATGTTTGACCAGCTGTCTTAGGCCGTGGGGCAGGGCGGGCAGGGCGCCGCGGTGGTTCAGCCAGTAGCAGCCAGCCCTGCCAACCGATGGGCAGCACGGCAATGCCGCGGTGGGCATCGTGCCTCGTCCTCGTCCTGGCGGTGAGTGGAAAGCCAACCGAACGAATCCCGGCAGACTGATTCCGAGAGTCGTTGTCGTCGCTCTGTCTCTCTCGACAGCGGGACGAAAACGACTCTGGGAATCAGTCTGCAGCGGCTCAGGCTCACGGGGAGGACATTCGTGCAGAGTCCCGATAATCTTGACTCGTCTCAGGCCGTGGCTGCGACGGCGAAGGGCGCGCGACGCGGCCTCGGCCAGGACGCCGACGCGCGGAGCGACAGCGGCCGCGGGTTGCTGCCGACGAGCGAGCAGGCCGACGGCGACCTCCACCTGCTCGACCGGGCGGACGACGACAACGCGGTCCGAGGCATGGAGGCGGGGCTGGCGCCGTGGCCCGCGCAGAGCCACCTTGCCGCCCAGCAGGAGTTCCGGCGGCTCAGCCTCCCGATGCTGGCGTGCAGGTGAAGCTGGCCGCTGTTTCCAGTCTGAGGCCTGTCATCGCGTCCGCAGAGTTGGGAAAAGCAACGATTTTCGTCCGCAGTCAGGCGGAATGCATCGCGATTTGCCTACCTTCCAGGCGCCTGTCTTATCACAAGTGGCAACTCTTCCGAACGCCCCCTGCCCACGCAACTGCCTCTCTCGCACTCACTGGGCGCCCCTTTTAGATGCGAGAGAGACAGAGCGACGAACACGACTCGGAATGAGTCTGTGGCGCTGCCCGCAGGTCCCGCTTCATCCAGGCGCTGGGCGAGGCCGGGCCGCAGGCCGAGGAGGCCGTGAACGCGGCGCTGGCGGCGGGACGCGCCTTCCTGGACCGCGTGCTGGAGGACGCCCTCGCCGACATCCCCCTCGCCAGCATGGAGACGGACTCGGAGATCGCCGCCATCCAGGTACCGGTACGCGCCGCCGCCGGCGAGAGGGGCGAGAGCTGCATCCAACTGATCTCGCATCTCGCAGGCCAGCCTCGCGGCGGGCGAGCGCTACCCGGCCGGCGACATCCTGGAGGCGCGGTGGCGGCGGGCCGTGCGGCTGTCCAGGTCGCTGCCGGACGACGGCGTCCTGGACGCGCGGGCCAGAGTCAGCACGCAGGCCCGGCCGCTGTGCCGCCTCATCGGGCGGGAGCTCCGGGCGGGCGTCGTGGAGCGGGGCGTCACCGGCGACGCCGAGGCCACCGTCGGCAAGCTCTGGAAGTGCCTGCAGCACCGCCTGCTGCCGCGCCGCCACCTCGGCTCGCCCGACTACCCCGGCGACGCGCGGAGGTGAACGGGCAGGACCCGCCGCGCTCAATAAACGTTTCAGTAGCAACGCGACATCGTGGTACGGTCCTTTCTTCGTCCTGCCGGCGCTGCACACTCATTCCGAGAGTCGTTTTCGTCGCTCTGTCTCTTCCGCGCTCATGGGCGCCCCGTATAGGCGCGAGAGAGACAGGGCGACGAAAGCGACTCTCGGAATCAGTCTGCTGCTGGCCCTCTGCCCCGAAGGCGGCCCGCATTCCTCTGCAGAGCTGTTGTAGAGGCACTGCACGACGGGGAGCTTGGAGCGCGCAGAGTGCAGGGCGGCCGGCACGCCCAACACGCATAGTTCGCCAACACTGCAACATTACTCCGCCATTCGGACAGTGGGGGCGCGGAGAGGGGAACGAACACGTCGGCGTCGTCGGCCTCTTTCCCCTGTTCGACCTTTCTTTCCTTTCCGCCCCAGTCCGCGCGCTGCGCAGTGTTCGCGACCTCCACAACTTTGTATATTTACACAATGGTTTTTTTCTTCATTAAGTGCTCCAGCGGTGCCCTTGAACAGAGCCGAGGAGGCGGGGTGGGGCGGCACCCACGCCATTCCTGTATCCGTGCGACACATCGAGCATGCTGCCAACCCTGGAGAAAGAAAAGAAAAGAAGAAGGGGGCTGAACTCTCACACGCAAAACACACGCCCTCCCCCCGCCCCCACACACACATGACGCCCACACGCAAACACACACCGATTCGTGTCACGCCGTCCGTACGCCCTCATTAAGTTTCTACCGCCTCGACCACCCTACCGCAGCAGGGTGTACTCGAATTAGCATGGGGAGCCAGCTGGGCCCGTCTCTCTCTCTCTCACTCCACACCCGTTGGGCTGCGAGGCGAGGCGAGAGAGACAGAGAGACGAGATGAGCACTGCGTTCCGAACCGGCGCTGCTGCAGGTTCAGCACGCTGATTCCGAGAGTAGTTTTCGTAGATCTGTCCCTCTCGAACTCGTAGGGCGTCCCGCATGGGTGCGAGAGAGACAGAGCGACGAAAGCGACTCTCGGAATCAGTCTGGAGATTGACTGACATTCCCGCGCATTACTGCAGTGTGGATCCGTGGCGGTCACACACCGCCCTGCAGGCCAAGCAGGCCAAGCAGAAGCAGGCGGCGCCGGAACGCTGGCGTGTTGTCAGCCGCACGGACACTGCAGCATGCAGCACTTGTTGCCTACTTTGTAGGCGCTGTCCCGCTGTCCGCTGCACTGCAGCGACGCCGCTCCCGCCAACGGGGACACCCTTTTTTCTTGTTCCTGCACGGTAAACCGGGCGGTGGTCGGCAGTCCGTGACTGTGAATGGCGGCGCGACGGCGTGGAGAGACAGGTCTTGGAGGCGGGGCGGTAGACGCAGGCGGCCCACCGCGCCCGCCTCACCGTGACCCAGATTTAATGAAGCGGGTATTTGGGTTTATGACGGCCCGGCCGGCCCGGCCCGCCCAAAACGGCCCCGTGGAATGACTCGGAACGGCGGTGGTTTCGTCGCTCCGACTCTCTCCCACTCATGGGCGCCTTCCGGTAGGGGATCGAGAGAGACAGAGTGACGAAACACTGTGTGGAATGGCCCTGCTATGTGTGCCCGTCTCACGGTGGTTGTCTTTGCGTGCGGACGGCTGGGCTGAGGAGGGTGGGGGTGGGGGTGGGGGGAGGGAGAGAGACAGCACGCCGTCATAGATCCCCGGGCTGCGATTACAGGCAGTGTAAGGGGAACGGGGAGGTCGGCGAGGAAAAACCAAATATTGAAAAGGTTGAGAACACGAGCTCTGTCCGTCTTCGTTAGTGTTGATGAGGGGAAAGGGAGAGGAAGAGGGACGTAGTTTGCTTCTCTTGTTGGAGTTTGTCCCTGCTCTTATTGGCGTGTGGGCGGCGTGTGGGCGGCGTGTGGGCGGCGGGTGGGCGGCGGGTGCATGCGGATAATGGGACTGCCTTACAGCGTACGCGCGCGTCACTTAGCCTGTTGTGAGATTAACATCGCGGTGAGATGTGGTTGATGAGGTCATGGTCCCGTGGAGCGGCCTGGGGGACGCATGACGTCATCACCGCACCGAAAACCGTTTTCTTCGTGTTTCGAATGAAACACTGCTTTGTTACTTCAAACTGCGAGAAATAAACAAGCAAGTGGCGCCCGCCCGCGCCCTCTAATTCATCATACAGTCCGTCCGCCGCGCTCCGCCAAGCCCCACCATGGCTCCGCACCGCCAGACTCGCAAGACAGGCCTCCTTATTCGAGAAACAGGGCCAGGCCGCCGCGCCGCCGCGCCGCATGCACGGCTAACTGCCGCCAGGAGTGTGTTCTGCAAAATGTTTATTAATTTTTCATCCTTCCACGCGAACGGCGCCTCCCTCCCCACCCCCTCATCGTCGGAAGCGCCCGTGCAGTAGGCACTCTCTCGCGCGGCTGCCGCGCGTGCTGCCTACCCGGCGTTCTGCGGGCGCTTCGGGGGCCTGCGGCTCGGCCTGCGGCTGCGGGCAATGAATCAGAGTCCACGGGGTTGCTGGCCCCAGCACCAGCCTGCCTACTGGCAATGTCTCGGCTTCGCTCTCTCTCGACAGGTTGCCTGGTTGGCGTGCTGGGGTGGGCAATAACGCTTTGGACACTGGGAATGTTTTCCTTCTCGTGTGGTAACGTTGGCCTGGCTGGGTGCCTAGGCTGGGGCCGCTGGAAGCCTCGCCAGCCTGGGCCGAAGGGGCGAAGGGGTTCGGCCGGGGTGCACGTCGTGCGTGCGTGTCCGCGACGCTTCCTGGACGCGCCGGGCGCTAATAACAACAATCCCTCCAACGATTCCACCGTGCTTCCGTGCTTCCCACCCCGTCGTGGACCCCCGCCCTGGGGTGCGTGCCCCTCCCCCTCCTCCTCTCTCTCGGCGAGGCCCCGCCCTAGGCAGCCCTGGGCGACTCATTGGCGCGGCGGGTACCAGTAGGGACCGGGGAATCGATTCAAACGAGTTGGTGGCGGTGGAAGGGGTCCGCCAAGCGTGTCCCCGAGCCCGGCCCCGGCGCCGTCGAGATCGCCGCCGCGGCGGTCCACTGCCCACCGCCGCACTCCGTTCACGCAGACCAGCGCGCCGTTTCACAGTTTTCCCATTCCAGACTCACTCGCCTGCGCGGCTCTTTGAAACTGTTTGCCGAGGGGCTGGTTTACCCTCGTTAACGGGGGGTGATGACGGGGTGCTGGGCCTTCTAAACAAGGAGCGCACACCCGGCAGCCCCCTTACACGGGCGGGCCCCGGCCGGCCGAAGGTGGGGTGGGGGGAGCCGAGCGTAGCCGAGTGTTGCACCGATAGCCGGGCGATACGAATGCGACCGGCAGGGAGGGGGACTTCGGAAACGTGCAGCGGGGCGGGGAGGGGTGGGGTGGGTGAGGGGCTGCACCCCCTCCTCCCGGAAGGGTCGGTCTGGACAGGCCGGGGGCCTGGAGGGCGGGGCAGGGCGGAGCGCGGGGGAAGTCCTTATCTCCCGACCTCAAATGTAACCGCGGCTCGGCGCCGCGCGGCTCGGCTGCGCTCGCCCGGACCCTGCTCGGCTCGGCGCGGAGCGGTGCGGAGCCATGGGGGGCCCATGGTGGCGATGGTGGCGTGGTGCCGGTCTTGGTGGCGCAGTAATGTGGCCGCTGGGTAGTCAGCGGCGACCACGAGGCCTGCGGCGACGGGGCGACGGCGAGGCCTACCGGGCTGGCCGGCATCGGCGACCCTCGCCAACGTGAGCGTCAGCGCGCCAGCGCCGCCACGGCCGTCTTGTAGGCCAGCAGGAGGGCAACAAGTCTCGCGCGGCGACGAGGCCGACGTCGGCCCCGGGCCCCGCCGGCGTCGCCACACCAGTCATGAGCGCGGACCAATCGGAGGTCCCGAAGGACGCCGCCCCGCCGGAGCAGCCGCCAGCGCAGGCAGCAGCAGCCGCCACCGCCGTCGAGGTGGCCGTCAGCCTGGCACACACCGCGGCCGACGCCGCCGTCCAGACTGCCACCGCCGCCAAGCCCGCGACCCAAAGTGCAGCGCCCGTAGCAGCGCCTAGCGCGGCACCGAGCTCCAGCCGGGCCGGCGGCTCCGCGCAGAGTCGGGGGTCCGCACAGAGCCGCAGCTCCGCCAAGACCAGGCCGGCCGCCAGGACGGCGACGAGAACGCCCGGCAAGCAGCCCAAGCAGGCCCCCATGCTCCAGGGCGACTCGGCACCGGTGAGTAGCAGCGGCGGCGACGGTGATTCGGTGACCGCCGTGACCGCAATCCACCCCACTCGGTTCCACGCTGCCCCCGCGAGGTGCGGCGTGGCGCCTTGGGGTGGCGGTACGCGTGCTCGCCGGGCCCGGCCGGGCCTGGCCGGGCCGTGCGTGCAGGGAGGGGTGGGGCGTGGGGCTGTGGTCGTGGAGGGGGCGGGTGGACGGCCGGCTAGCCTCTTCGGCTAGCGTGATGACCTACTTGGCCTGCGCCATTAGTATGCTGCTCGAGGGCGCCTGGAGGCAGGGAGGGGGCGAGGGGGCGGCGCGGCGGGGGTGGCCGGTGGCCGGCGCTGGGCGTCGGGACGGTCGGCGGCGAGGGTGCAGTGTGCCGACAGCGCTCACACCGTGCCCACCACAAGAGCAGCCAGCAGCAGCCAGCAGCAGCCCCGGAGAGAGTGCCGAGCCGCACCGCCGACATGGACGACCCCCACGAGGTAGGGCGACACGGCGGACGACGGTGCGACGCCAGCGTGGGGAACGACCGCCACCGGTGCCGGTGCACGGCGCTGGCGGTGTCGACGTCGATCAGCAGCGCCATGGCGCCGATCGGCCGGCCGCTCAACAAGTGATCGGCTCGGCTGCTTCCGCCTTCCTCCGCCACGTGACGGCCGTGTCATCGGGGTGGGGGCGCCCACACTGCTTGTCCTGGTTGCCGGCGCCGGGTTTTGGCTGCTGCGCCGCGCCGGGGCCGGGGTACAGTGCAGTGTCCGAGGAGACGACACCCCGCCATCCAGTGAATGAATCCTTTGACTCCCTGGTCTCGCGCCTCGA